CAGTGTGGAGTGGATATAAAATGCTACTACATGTTTTGGTAGTGTTTTACTCCCACTTTGGTGTAATCAACTACACCAGGTCTGGGGAGGAGGCATAGCTCCGTGAGTTGAGCATTGGCCTCCTAAACCCAGGGTTGTGAAGTCAGTCCTTGAGAGGGCCACTTAGGGATCTGGGGTAAAATCAGTATTTGGTCCTGCTAGTGAAGGCAGGGGGCTGGACTTTATGACCTTTCAGGATACCTTCCGGTTCTATGAGATAGGTATATCTCCGCATATTATAAGATGAGAGAAACAATAGCTATGCATGTCATAGTCTTACACTGTGCTTGATGGTGACATATTAGTAGCCTCAGTACATATCTATATATTTAAAATTAGAAGATGCCGTGCTTGGTAAATTCACTAATTTTGATTTTTAAGGAGAAAGTCCTGTGGAATTACTATGGTTTCCCTATGTTTTTGTTAAAATTTGTTATCAGTGCTAATATTCTTGGTTTTGAGTAGTAAGTAATAGACACGTTTCCCCTTGGGTGTACAATGCTATTTAACTGTATTCTTCATGATGCTGATCCCATCAAGTTCTAAGTTTCTGTAGAGAGATGACAGCCAAAGTAGTTATCTTCTCTCCCTTTCCTCTTGACTTTCACATGTGCATGTGCACACACACACAGGGAACTTGTTTGTAATTAAATCTCTCTGATGCTCATTTCATGGCTGTTCTGTGCAATAAAAAACTTGCACCATAGGGAAATCTTTACTGATGGGAAGTGAAGTCCCTAAAGAAATAACCAATGATTTTTTTGTTTGAAGTTTTACAAAGTTATCTGTTAAACCAGGTACCTATGCTAAGCCAAGTACTCTATGTAATTGTCATTCCTGTGAATAAAGGACATTTCAAACAGTGCTACCAGAAAAACTGGATACTCCTAGTATCTATAAACTATTGTGGCAAGGCACCTCCTTTGCCTTGCCAGCTTCAGATTTCCCCCCTTGGTGGTGGGGAAGGGTTTTTATTCCTCAAGTGGATTTTTATTTTCAATATTTACAAGATGGGCCTCAAGGTAGGTCCAAAGCGTACTCTTCTGCCAAACCAAAGAAACCAATTCATAACACAAAAAGGGAATGTCTTTCCCTGTCTTTTCTCTGGGGTGTTTTCCTTGTTATGCTGACTGCAAGGTGCCAGTCATTCCCCAAAATGTCTGCTAGCGTGGTTGCTTCCCCTGTAGGGAGGAGAGCAGCCTTCCACCAGGAAAAGCCTTTTCTCCCTGCTGCCACTAGGTGTGCTGCAGGTTGTTGTTTCTCCTCCCTCTCTCTCACTAGAAGAGGGTGTTTGTTAGTTAGTTTGCTTGTTTAAAGGTCTCAGGTATCCCTTATTTGGACTCAGGTGTCCCAAGGTGACCTGAGGTAACCTCTTTTCAGCTCATGGGGGAAAGGGCCTCTACCTTTCTAGGGCTGACATACCTGCCTTCCACTTCGGCAGCACATATACTAAAATTGGAACGATACAGAGAAGATTAGCATGGCCCCAGCGCAAGGATGACACGCAAATTTGTGAAACGTTCCGTAAAAAAAAAAACCCACTGTCTTACAGCTGTCTGATCTGACGTTGTCACAATGTTTAGGCACCAACAATGTGTTCAGTGCTCTACATGACAGAAAATGAGATGGTTCCTGCCCCTGCTACCAGTGAAAATAACTATCAAAATAATGAGTATGCCCACTGTAAATAATGTACATATTGGAAATTAATGTGCTTTTACTAATTGAATTTATTTTAATGGATAAATTCTAGGAAATCTACAAAAGTGCATTTATTGTCTTGTTTGTTACCTTCATGGGTATAATGAATACATTTTAACATTAAGGTAATATGTTAAATCCAAGACCTGTTGCAGCTTGAGGAAAAGCTACCTTCCAAAAGTCACTGTATAATTTCAGCTTCTAATAATAATCTTTAGCTCTTTTCATTCATAGATCTAAAGTACTTTGCAGAGTATCATTATCACCTGTTTTCAGATGGGGAAACTGAGGCACAGAAAGGTAACGTGAATCAGGCTAGTTCACACAACATGTCAATGAGGAACAGAACTTCAGGTCTCTTGACCTTGACTCCCAGACCGTAATATAACTTTTGGACCACACTGCCTTGCTAATAATATATAATACGGTGTGCAAATCAAACCATTCCTACATTCAGCACGCTCACAATTTATATCGGTAATGTGGTCGGAGTCTTACTCTTGAGCTTATATCTTAAGTTAGATGGAACATTCCAAATAAGTGCTGCTTAAAATCTTCATAAGCACACGACCATGTACTCTGCATACCCCACTTTTTACTTTAACAATTATTGTGAGAATGTTGTACAGAGCTTTTAGAAATAGTACTGGGACTATTCCCTGATCTCTCTGCATGTCTAGCTGGGTGCCTTAGTTGTCACTGGTTTAAATATGCAGATCTGGAGACAGCAGGAAATTAAAATCAATGGGCAAGATCTTAAGCTGGTGCAAACTTTATGTCCATTGACTTCTATTTACCACTGCAGAGGATCCGACCTAATAAATTTCAGACATCTATAAAGATGCTATAAATAGCTTTTATAAAAATAAATAATAGTCAATATTATGCATTTTGAGTTTAATAGACAATCTTGGTACCTTCCAAAACTCAAAGCAAGAGCTTTGCCAATAGGAAGGTAGGAATCTCCTCCTTCTAGTGCTATAAATCTCCAGTTTGTAGCCCTCAAGATAAACAGATTTCTGTCTATAAAACTATCATTAGTAAAGTACTTAATATTGTCAATCCTGCAACTTGGGCTAGTGTAAATCAGGAATGAAATTCCATATATGAAGAAATAGGAAAACATTTTTGTGGCAGATTGATTTAAGAAGCAAAAGATGTCCTTTTGGAAGCTGGTATGTTAGAAAAAGTCTGCTGGAGAAGGGTTAGTCAGTAGAGTGCAGGCAAGGTGGTAAAAATGCATGATTAATGTCATGTATTATATGGCTCTGAAAATTTATCCCACAACTATCACATCACATATTTCAGTTTTCTAGTGCCACCCTTCTGGTGCCAGAGCTTTTCAAACAAGATTGCAAGGCTCTATTATTTATGAGGAGGAATATGTATTTTTCCCAGTATTCTCAAAAATGACTTAAGTCCCGTTCAAACTTCCCAAACATTTCATATTCAGACAGATACTAAGCTCTGAAATATTCAGCTCAAACGTTTTCAGAAAATGGAGTTATGGAAAAGAGAATAGAATGGAAGCATCTATAACATTTGGGATCAATACCTCTTCTTCCACCCCCACCTCCTAAAAAAGTGTGTATGTATAAATAATCATTCATGCACAGAATAATACTTCTTAGCACTACATCATGCATGGCTCATCTAGTCAGAAATCAAATGAGAAAAAATGGACATTACCTTGAACTTTCAAATAATTCTGAATCTTATTTCTTTTAATAATGCAGGGTTAGTCATAAATGTTGCATCATCCATGAGCACATCTAGGCATGGCATGAAACTCTCATGAGACAATCTCATGATCCAGTTACCCTGTTTTTGAAAATGGGCCTAACTAGAGGAATTTATATAAATATTGTATTAAGACACGACATCATGCTTCTAAAATACTAGAATAAAGAATAAAGTAGCATTAGATGCAAAATTGTAATGGAAGCAAATTGGCCAAGAAGTGTTCAAATATCTATATATTAATATCAAAATTCCAGGGCTGGGTGGGGGAAGTGGGAAGGAATCAAAGGTCCTGATTCACAGCTGGTATAAATTGATATCACTTTATTAACTTTCAAGAGACCAACTTCAATTTACAGCAGCTGAGAATCAGGCCCCAAGCATGGATTTAGATACAGAACTTATCTTAGAGTTGTTTTTAGGACTGTTCTTCAAAGATAAAAAAGCCAAGATGTGGCCTAGTTGTTTGAATATGAGACTCAGAACCAGAACTCCTTATTAGGTCTGACTTTGAATGCCTCTATAGCCTGTGGCAAGTCATTTTAACCTCTTTTTTTCTATTTCCCCAACTGTAAAATGGACAAAAAATGGATTTTGTGAGAATTAATTAGTTTGTTAAAAAAAAAAAACCAAACTTTTCAACTGAAAATCACTATTTAATTGGTACTATTAAAGAAATAGTAAACAGCTAATGTATGACAAAATATTGATTAAGAGAGAATTTAAAAGATCCCCCTTTTGTACACACATAATAGCAAATGATGAAAGATCAATTAAATCCTGCATTGTATTAAATTTACTAGCCAGATGTCATCTTTCCAGGCACAATATAGCATCTGCATGAAAGTGGCACAACTGACATTATGCTCTGGACCCAGCCTATTCAGTGGAAAGCCAGCAATGATTCCACAATTCTAAACTTTGCCATAGAGAAAAGTTTTATAGTAAAGAATCAAACTCTACTTAATTTCTAAGGATGGTAATTTTAAGTTGAATATAATTTTGACACCCTGAATGACAGGAGAGAAATAATTGCTTTCCCTGCTGGGAGCTATGAAGTGGATGCCCAGCCAGTAGCGTCAGCCAGAGGGAGAGGAAAGAAAGCTTCATTTCTTCCTAATATCATGCCTCCTCAAAGCCTGCTCCAGGTGATGGAGTAAGTGAAGACACCAGCCAACACATTTCCCTTCAAACCTTGGGGGAAGAAATGTATTTTGGAGGGAAGAGGATAGGAAAGATGCACAGAGCCCCTGGCCTAGTTGGCAAAATGGGGAACCCTGCTGTGCGGGAGGGGAGAATGGTGTGTGTGACAGATTTGAGGACCATTGTATACATTTATGAATGGCTTATGGATGATTGTGTTCTACTCCACAGGGGAAGGTTGCCACAGCTCCTCCAGGAACTAAAACACTATATATGTGGGGGTAAATAGGATAAATCCCTGAAACTGTAAACACCTCCAGAGTTGTACTCCCACCTGAGGCGGTTTGCATCTAGTGATTCAGGCTGTTTTTTTCCAGAAACTAGGAAACATTGGATAGAAGACCTTTCATTGGGGGGAGGAGCAACCCTTGTGGAAGCATTGGAAAGACTTTGGCCTACTGGGGCTCCTCAAAAAACTGATGGATGAACTCTGGTAAGCTTTTAGCATGCATTTAGGATCTTTTTTTGTTTTTTTATGTTTTCTCTGCAATGCTTTTGTCTTAAGAATATATATAGTTTGCTTTATGAAGTTGCTTTGCTGGTTGATAATGCACACACTGTTGTAATCCCTAGAGAAAGGTTACCCACAGTTGCTGGACCTCTGCGAGATCTGCTGGGGAAATCACCGCAAAGTGCAGAGGGACTGCAAGACTAAACCCATGTTCTGGAGAAAGAGACATGACTTTGCCCAAGAGATGTGATGGGTAGGAAGACTGAAACCTTTAAATGGGTGCCCTGCAGGAGAAACAGGAGGTGGGGTCAAAGGTGCAATTAACCTTGAAACTGTGACTTATATTGTGGTAGTGAGTATGATCTATGACAGTAGGGAATTGTCAGTAAAGTGCCAAGAACTGTGAAAGCAAGTATTGTAGAAGAGAAAGCAATGCACAGGCCCTGGCCATGAGGCAGGCTGGATTGCTGGGAATATCACAGTGTTTGGTGGGAACTGTGAACCCTTAAAATCCCCCCCGGTCAGAAAGGAATGGGAAAAGGGTCCCTACCCAGAGACAACTGATGGCTGGAGGCCTGAGGCTTGGCTGGGCACTCCTGGAGTGGACCATGGAGGGGGAAATACAGGTGCAGTTCCCTTGAAACTGTGGGATGGGGGCACACAGAGCCCCTGGCATGGGAAAAGGTGGAAATGAAAGGTATGCGTGGAATTAGAAAAGAGAGTTCACAGAGAGCTGCTGGCATGGGGGAGAGTATGGGGACCTTCATAGGAAGGAGGGGAAATGGGGACACAAACCCCCTTCCAGTACCTTTTTTTCCATTCCCTCTTGACCCTTGAGTCACTAAGGGTCCCTGGCCACAAGCTTTAAGAGGAGCTTTCATGGACTCAGGGGAATGAGCCCATGTGGTTTCAGGGGCCTCTTAACTTTTATACCCTTTTTTGTTTTCCTCCATGCCACACAGTCAAGAGCCTGCATGATTTTGAAATGTGGTTGTATTAGAATTCTTTGAAGCATACTTGATGCTGTTACACATTTTTATAGATTCAATAATAAAAAAATGCATTTAAACAATCTGTTTTCTTTCCTGGAGTATTAGCGAAAAAAAGGAAGTGTTAACCCAGATCACCATTTAATCTTGAATACTGCTTGAAGGTATTTTTTAAAGAGAGTTTTGCTTCCCTCCTATTCAAAAAAGATTAGACCATTTTATAAGACCTGGTGGCAATAGATACAGTACTTGCATAATGGGGGAGAAAGGAAGCCATGCAGGTGACCAAAGCAAATAGAAACCATTTGTATGGCATGTTACCGGTATGGTTTTAAAGCACTTAAATCTAATGAAAACATAGAAGCATTTAACAATGTGCTAGGGGGTTAACTTGTGCTTCTAATGCAGTTTAATTTGAATCTGTAATAACCACACAACCAGAGTTAAGGTGCAGAACTCCAATGGAAGAGGAATGTTTAAATTAAAACCTGTGACTAACAGAACAAAATACCTTATTTTGTCATAGGAGCAGCGAGCCATTCTGGCTTTGGTTCTAGTCCTGTTGTTGTCTGAAAAGTTCTTACCCTATATTTCTCAACTATGACAGACTACTTGTTGAATTCAAGATTTTTTTTAACTAAAAAGAGGCCTTTGTGAGCAAAAGGCTATGTGCACCAAACAAAGCCTCCCTGTAGACTTTAATGAGTAATTTAGATATGTAAAGTACGTCCCTCAGCCTGCGCCGCTTCCAGCAGCTCCCATAGGCCTGGAGCAGCGAATCACGGCCAGTGGGAGCTGCGATCGGCTGAACCTGCGGACGCGGCAGGTAAACTGGCCCGGCCCGCCAGGGGCTTTCCCTACACAAGCGGCGTCCCAAGTTTGGGAAACACTGTTCTAGAGGATAGGGAAAGGGAGAGAAGGGAATTGTTTAGGAAAAATAACTCAGTTTAAGCAAACTAACCCCCCCAGATCATTGCAATGATCGAGTTCCTGCTCTTCCTCCTTTTAAAGTCAATGGAAAATTTGCTTAGAAATGTCCAATGTGTTCTAAACTAATTGTAAACCCTGTGGCCTGAAGCTCTAGGTAAGGAACTCTCTGCTGGTGATGAGGCTGAAGAATGGTTGCATAAGCTGTTTACCCAAACTCCAGATGACCTGAAGTTCTAAAGGGGAAGAAAGTCTCTGTCACCATCTGTTTGTAAATATGGGACTATGCAGTTACAGGGAGAGCTTCATTTGCATAAACTTTCTACCCAGAATTTTTCCAGTGCCACAATTGTACACACACTCAGGACTGGCTGGGAGTGGAACTGAGAGAAGGGAAACCGGATCCTACATTGTGGCAAGGAGTGCGTCCCCAATGGCAAGCACACTGCTCCAGGGTCCAATATGCTACCGGTTCCTCATCATTGAGGATCCTGTGCTGCTGGAAGGACTTTGCAGAGAGACGATGTAAACTGAGGACTTCACTGCAAGAGCTGTCATGGAGGACTTTGTGATGGAAGATGACACAAAAGCAGGTCCTGAGCAGAGGACAACTCAGAGGGAGAGCTTTGCTAATGTCACAGGATACAGGAGTAGAGCTGAGTGAACTCTGGTGACTACCCCCTTCCCAGCTGTCACAATTGAGGGCAACTGCACCTGTATTTCCTCTCAGTGGTCCATCAAAGGCAACCACTTGTAGGCTTCTAGCGCCTCAGCTTATGTCTTTCTGGGTGAAGATCTTCATCCCTCTCCCTTCTGATTGAGGGTATTTCCAGGTTTCACAGTTCCCTGCCTTCACTGTGTTATTCTCAGCACAGAGGACAAGGACACCTGCTTGATTTCTCTTCAGAGACAATTGACAAGTGTAATTGCTACTGTTATATGTTGTCACACAGCACTGCCAATGCAAGCATACTTTATTTTTAAGGTAAAAAGAATTATAGAGAAAACATTAAAAACAGTAAATGATCCTATACACATGCTAATAAGCTTACCAGAATTCATCCCACCCTTAAACATGGGTTCTGGCATGAGGAGTTTTTCAAATCCCCACCCAAGGAGATTCTTTGTGGTTACAGGTTAAACACAACTTCATCTCAGAACACATACTGAGTTTTATAGGGCCTCAGTAGGCTCAGTCTTTGTAACTCTTTCAAAAGGACTGGGGCCCTCTAGGGACCAGGGCTCATGTCCATTTGCTGGATCAGGAACAAGGCCCTGTGTCAGTTTAAAACCAGGCTGTTTATTCAAAAAGCTTTTCTGGGTTTGTCCTTGGAAAATCCAGTTTGAACTAGTGCATATACGTGGCTTCTCTGGAGTTGTTACAACCCAAGTGAATTGCATAATCTCCTCTTGCTGTTCTCTATTTACCCTTCCCATGGAAATACATACAGTGCCACAATACCAGATACACAACTGCATTTTTAATAAAATGAACCCCAAAGGAATTAACCTAACTCAGTATAGTTTAATTTAATTCAATATACCTCATTCAGGATATTGCAGGAAATTGTCACTCTGTCACACCAGCTATTCACTAAACATGAATTTAGAGCTAGTTGTAATTTTTTTGTCAAAATGGTTTTTGATGGGGGGGAGCCATTTTTTTCCACATTGAAATATTTTGAAAATATATTGATTTCAATGAACTTTTTTATTAGGAAAAGCAAAATGAATAGTTTTGATAATATTGAAACATCTCATTTCAACACTTCCAGAATGGAATGTTTTGACTTTTGTTTCTTTGTTTCAAAACTACTTTTTGAAATGAGATTCATTTTATATATATTTATTTCTTTTGGAATTCTGTTTTTCTAGAACTTTCATTCTGTTTTGGAACAGAAAAAAAATCACAGAAGTTCGTTTGAAATTGAGAATCTGTTTCCTGCCCAGCTGTAGTGGAAATTACTCAAACTGGGTGAGGTAGTAGAGCCTCAAGACAGGGTCAGGCAGAGCTACCCTTGGGCCTGGACACAGGCCAGTCTCAGTGTACTCCTGGGGTTTGGTATACTCTCTCCACTGACACCAAACTGTGACTTGAAGTGGGGGGAAGTAACTTAGTAAAGTGATATTTGCCTATTGAATGTGTACACTGGTAGGAGAGTTAATGGCCTACTGCCAAAGATACTGTGGGGTGGGCATTTATCATTCATTTATGTATATTGTTGGTGTGTTCTCTCCACCTGCCACCTGATTTTGTCAGTGCTTGTGAGTGGAGAAGTATTGCCTGTTAGGGCACCTAGGGAAGGTATTTAGTGATTCCAAAAATTCTGGGTGGAGGTTCAAGCCACTGGTTTCTGTTAGTTTTAAGAGGGATCCTTACCTATCTGAAACCTGCCCTTGTTGTTTTCAATGCCATCTGTCAGAAGGGTTACATACACCTAAGAAGTAGCTTCTGTCCTAGCCCTTCAATGCTGAGAAGTGTATAGTGCAACTGGACTGCTTCCCTTGCATTAACCACAGCAATCCAAGGGCTACACTAGTTTCCTTGCTGGCAGCCAGAAGTGTGTGTTGTCAGAGCTGTTGTGCTGGATCTATGCCACCAAAAGATGCCCTTACAAGAAGATGATCTTCCCTTAGCTAATGAAGACAGCTTTCGGGTTTACACTGGCAGTTTTATACTAAGCAGCTACAGTACACTTGGGGATTTGAGCCGTTGTTCCCTGGTTTTTATATTCTGACTTGATGATAATCTTTTCTACTGTGTTCACTCCTGGTGAAACACAGAAACGCAAAAGCAAATGGGAGTGGAGAATAACAGATTAAAAAAAACTCATACATCAAAATGTCTACTTGGTTTCTTAGAAACACCTAGAGTATGTGCACTCCAGTTACACCCCTTAATACATATCTAATATAAAAGAACCTTCTTTAACCATTTCTCGTGTCCCTCCCTAGTCTATGTTTAAACAAACTAAATTGCTTCAGAAAAAGTAACAGACAGATCTAAAGCAAATGTTAAACTATGAATTACCTTACCCTTCCTAACCTCCCTTCAGCCAAAAAGTTAAGGTTTGTTGTACTTTTTTTTTCCCTTTTAGCCACATTGATAATTTGTCATAGATATCTGTTTGATACAGTGCAAGGGAAAGCATAATTCAAAAGCAAACTTGGGGACATATCCATCTCATTTTAAGAATCAAAATGGATTTTCCCCAGGGTGTCTGACATCTGGAAATGAATTCTGAGGCTCTACGGGTGGATTCTTTTTTAAATGTACTGTTTCCATGCTCCAGTTCAAATCAAGGTCCACTGTAAAATAATGTTTGGGGGCACTATGCCTGCAATAAAAGCAGTCTTTCATATTTCATTTTCTTACAGATGAGACCATGCTAAATAGTCAGGGTGTCGCACCGTATAAATGTGACATTTTGTATAACATGCACGGAAGCTGCAAGGAAACAAAACTTTTAACACAAGAGACCATGCCAATCACAAAAGAAGGGGTTCAGACATGAGTGATGACAATGCTTAGGGTTATGGAAAAACTGTCATATGAAAAAAGTTTGAAAACACTGGGATTGTTTACCTTAGAAAGAAGATGAATGAGTGGGGACATAAGAAACATATACAAAATGATGAATAGCACAGAGAGGGTAGATCAAGAGTTTCTTTCTCCTTATCCCACAACACAAGAAAAAGGGGACAAGAATATCTGGAGTTCTTATAGTTCATGCTAAAAAAATGTTTTGGAAGGGATATACAACATCATGTTTCAGGGCCTAGGCCAATTTCTAAAAAACTTAGGGATCAGAATATTATGTCCATGGGGAGGGGGCATTCTGCTCACTTGGGCATTCCTTAAGTTTTCCTAAACAGAATAGACAGGGTACTGGACATGGGTGGGATCCAGTGTGAAGGGATCCCAATGGGGAGGGAGACTAGCAATTCCATCCTCTGAAATTAGCTGGAATATTGAAAGAGACTCACCATTTTAGGGCAGCCTGAAACACACTCTTAATCTTATAGCAGTTCTATGTGGACAACTTCAGTGTACATGTGTTGTGGCCTTTCTATGGGTAAGGACCACATACTGACTTAAGTGGCCTCCTTAATACCTTAGGTACCTATGGACTTGTTCATCTCACCTGTATTCAAT